TTTAATATCTATGTGCATAAAAAGAGAATAAGATTTATAAAAGATTTTCCGGCAATATACTAAATGTTAGATAAAAAATCTCATTTTATTTGTTATATAATATTTCGAGTTGCATTAATTTTGATTTGTATGTGTAAAATTGATAAATTAAGCGTATGAAAAGGAGCGTACGAATTACTGTAAGGATTTAAAAAATAAAAAATAAATCTAATTTTTGAATATTTTCTACTAACTTCTAAACGAATTTATGTCATAATTCGTCATAATTTTCCCACATCATGTCAATATTTATTTTATATATACTAGGTAAAAGGTAAATCATTATCTCAATATTTATTCTATATATTCTAAGTAAATCTTCTCATCTATCTCAACGGTCAGCAGGTAGTATTTCATACTTTTCTATTCATAATCAAATATATCAAAGCTTAACAAATTTTATTTCACAAAGAAAGTGTTCAATAATTTATATTTTTTTTTTCTTCTTTGCAATCCATTTATTTTTGTTACATATATATAAATTATATTATTTTTAATATTTCACACGTTAAACATTTCAGAAAAATATACCATCCCGTGCATCGCACGGGCTACGCGCTAGTAATATATAATACAGTTAAGAAAAACTATTCAAACAATACCAAAAAAATTAATTCGTTTTCCCGCTTCACAAGTCATTTTCCCGCTTACGTATTTCATATTTTTTTGAATATAATTAACATGTTTCGCCCATGCAATTTGAATGTTAGTTTCAAGAATCCAATTGATTTGAACTTCCAAAAAATCTGGAAATTAATTTCCTTATTTAATTGAATGAGTGTTTGATTCAATCTCAAATAAATAATGTAGATTTGTTCAAATTCGGTCAACTGTGTAAATTGGTTGGAAATTCACAAATTTTGTTTAACAAGATATCTGGTCAAAATTATTTTTTTATAATTGAAATCTGCATATGAAGAATCATGCAATAATTGAAAAAAGCTAATGAACACAAGATCCTACATATCTGTTAGCATTAATGGACTATTTTTTTTACAATTCCAAAAAACCTTAAAGAAACTAAAATATATAATTACATTCTAAATTGAACATAAAATCCTAAAATCGAATGTGCATACAATTTTTAAAAAAATTCTCAAAACAATTAATTAAAACTGGAGAATTGAGAATGAAAATCTCATTTCCAATCGTACAATGGTCTTTTGAAAAAAAAAAAACCTTCGAATCAAAACGAAGATCCTAAACTCAAAAAACTCCAAATCGAAGTATTTTGTTGACGATTCCTAAAAACCTTATAAATCGAACATAAAATTCACTAAGGAATCTGTTGAAGAATCATAATAAGTTAGTTTATTGATATATATATATATATATAGAAATTAACAATAAAAGTAAATAAATAAATGTCATATTATTATTGAATTGAATATTGTGGAGAATATGATTTTATATTTTATTAAATAATTTTATAATAGTTAAATAAAAAATCTTGATTATAGAAGGGATTTAGTTTTTGACATTTGCTAAATCAAAGTTGTTTAATTAGTATACACAATTAAATTCTAAGAAAAACTTGTGTGTATATTTTGTAAAACTTATACACTATTTAATTTTAAATTTATTTATATATTTTAAATTAATTACATAAATAAATAATGCTAACATGCATTAAATATTTTTCATTACATAAAATAAGAAGAAAAAGAAGACGTACAATGTCTATAAATTTTATAAATAATAATGACATTGTATGACAACAAAGTTTATAACATGCTCATATTTAATATTCTGGCAAAAAACACAAGCTGATTAAGCCTATTGTTTCTTAGACTTAAATGGACAAACCCTGTTGGAATAATTCATTTAATATCTCTGTCTCGTGCATAGCACGAGGTACGTACTAGTAATGAATAAATAGAGCAATTGACTTTACAATTATGAGGTATAGACCGTATAGTGTATGTTAATGGGAATAATGGGATTTTGGCATAAAATAAGGGAATTGCTACTCTTATGACCAAATTACCCCTGTCAGATTTTCTAAAAAAATTCTTTCACCTTCCAACATCCTCCGAACTCCTCCGCCGCCCCGCCGCCCCCAAATCAATTCCAAGAAACTGAAAAATCGGGGACACGACAAATGTCCAATGATTGTATGTTTTTTTTTTCGACGTATTTATTTCTTATAATTTTTTGAAAATTTCTGTCGACCAGCGATCGCGGCCGCTGTGGACACGAGCAATTTAGCCAGCCAACGCCCATTCGGGCGAATGGATCGCAGGCTGGCCGCGTTTGCCCGCCGACCGACCTCCTTGCCGTCTGATTTCCACCGGTGGCCAGTCGCCAATCGGGCGCTGACGATTTTTTTTAGATTTTTTAATAATTGAAATTATTTAAATATTTTAAATGTTTACATATTTAAAAATAGAATTAAATTAACCTTTGATTTAGGTTAATTTAGATAAATTTTTGTTTAGTAGTTATTCATAATACATTATTTATAAATAATATTATATGTTAGTTAAAATGGAACTATATTAAAATTATTATAATAATACTTTTTAATAATACTAATTATTAATAAAATAATGTATCTAACTTTAGTATTTTCAAGAAACGAATTTGTTGTAATATATGTAATAAAATAGTTTGTCGAGTAATTATTAGTTTAAAAAATTATAATTAGTATTCTAAAATAAGTTCAAAAAATTGTATAATTTTATTAATAGGTAATTGCTATTAAACCTTTATTAATATTTTAGGATTTAGGAAATAGTAATAATAGTATTTATAATTAGTATGCGTAAATATTACTAATAAATAGTTATTATAATTATTTTATAATAATTAATAATATATATGAATTAAAAAAGGTTGTTTACTAATCATTAGTTTAAATTATTGATTTAGATTGGTGGTAGACCTACGCGACCGGCCACCGATACAAAGGATATCGAGTTTTTTATCCTGGGCGAGAGACACTGAGATGCAACGTCAGATTCGCCTGAGACAGACTGGTCACACTAACCAGTCTTTGCACGAGCAGTGGCTTGGAGATTTTCAGGCTGGCGGTTCGAGATGCCTCACTCCAGTACAGACCAGTCAACAGTCCCGCTTCGAGTAGCGGGGTGATTATGATGAGTCTCATTCTGAGAGGCTGCAGTTCTCAAAGAATTCTGAGGACTTTGATTTCGGCGATTATCAGGACATTCCTCTCCCACGACAGGCTCCTCCACGACCCGCTCCTCCACGTGTTGGGACCGTTTTGCGAGCACTGGATCCACATGCAAATAATTCACGTACTTATTGTTGTTTAGCATTAAATATTTTTATCTAATAATAGTATATCACTTATACAATCAGTCACAATATGTCATATACATATATATATATATATATATATATATATATGTTATATTCTAATATCAGCTTGCAACAAACGATCTAGAAGTGCACCAGCAGAATACTGATCGTTTCAGGCCCAGTGCTCGGTGGCCTTCTTGATGAGAGTGTTATCCCTAGCTTTCTAGGGCACGTAGCCTCCTGTATGTGGACTGGAGAGTTTAAAGGCATACTGAAATGCCAGAATAGACAGGGAGCGCATGAGAAGTTGAGGAGTTGGCTCCCTGCTATGCCTTGCGTTGCACGCGATTTGATAGGTCGAACCGGGCTTGGATTCGATGCATACTCATGGGGACAGTCTACTTATTTCTGCATTTGTCGAGCGCTAGCAGCCTGATACTAACTCGTTTCACATGCTGTTTGGTGAAGTGAGTATCATGTTGCACAATGTTCGGGCCATTTGTAGAGAGCGAGATAGTTACAGAGGACCCCAACACTAGCTCTTGCCAGGCTTACTGCATGGAGATGCTGCAGCTTACAAAAACTGAGTTGATGCAGTCGTTCTGGAAGCATGGTGCGGTGACAGTATCCTCCATTTTGGCAGCAATGGTTGCCATATGGCTCTAGCCCAGCTTCGACATAGCCGAGGACCCTTTATTACTGATTTCTTAAATACCGCGATATGGTGCTTGCCTGTCCGGTTTTTGCGTCAGCTAGGCTTCGTCTAGGCTATCACTCCCCGCATGACCCATCCAGTCAGAGCAGTACGTGATTGGGAGTCTAGGCTCTACAAGGTTGAGTATATTGATTCTGTTATAGTAGAAGCCTGACACCAGTTCCCAGTGCTGTCGCGTGCCGAAATGACAATTTTCACCCCCACCACACATGATGGAGGGGTACTTGGAGTGGTACGCCCGGGTTTCCCATCCTCTTCTCTTGGGTGATAGCCTGCCAGACGAGCACACAGTCTTTACGAGCGGCAATATCGATTATGTAAGTCGTTTACTGAATTTTAGTCAATGTTCTTTCACTATAATATTTTTTTAATATATGTGTAATCATATATTTTAATTCTCCTACATTGTGTAGTGGGTCAATCGTGTCTTCTCCGTTACATCAGACTGGCGTCGAGATTGCGAGAGGGCTGATCCTAATTTGGTTGCGCATTATGCAAATATAATGGCTCAGTGCAAGGCAGATTGGGACAGAGCGCAACAGTGATGTAACGAACGTTGTTTGATTTTATTGTTGAACATTCATGAGATTTTTATGGGTNCATTTCATTTTTATCTATTTTCAAATGATATACTACATACATTTTTATCTATTTCCAAATGATATACTACATTTCAACTAAAAAAGTCCATAACAATCAATATATACGTAATAATGCATGATTATGTACGTCTACACATACATTAAAGTGAAATGTCAATCTGCATTACAAATATTATACCACGACTTGATCTTATTTTGGTAGAAATGCTCCCAACCTTCAACCGTCCTATCTCGGTATCTTAACCAGTAATAACAAACAGGCGCATCTAAACCAGTAATAACAAACTAGTATCACAATGAGAAAAATATGATTCACGAAAAAAAAAATGAGGAAACCTGAAATTAAATTTTTTTTTTTAAAAAAAAAAGCACACTAAAGGCGAGAGAAGGAACAACAAAAAACACCTTTATTTACATACAAACGTCATTTGAGTATAAACCTTTCAGAGACTTGCTTGAACCTAAAGGAGATGCATAAAAGTATAAGCATCAAATTAATAAAATCCTGGCAACTGACACAAATACAAAAACAAAACCATCCCAGCACATTCTAACAACTGCATAAATACTCCAACCAGGCATATCCCATCACAGTACATCTATGGTGCACAACATTATCGTAACCCAACAGAACAGTCAAAATCCTGGTTGACTCCATTATCTCTCTTTCTGCAACTCGTCTTCTTCTTTCTTTGCCTTGACTGTTTCTTAAGTATATTATATGTACTGAAAGACAAGCAGTGTATCATTTGCCGCACCCCACAGCGGAAGACTGTTCTTCAGTTTCGACGGTAGCATTTGGAAGGCTCGTCCCTGATTTGAACTCATCAATGGGAAGTTTAATCTTTGGCGAAAGCCTCTTGGCTTCCTCTGTCGTGTAGATATAAATCTTCTTCACCATCGAGCAAAACTCGCTGCAATGTATTAAAACGAAATCCAAGAACATTTCATTAGAAGCACACTCAGTGAATTCATCGTACAATACAGTAAACTTCAATGAAATTTTAATGATTCTTAAAGTATTCATGATTTAACCTCCCACTGAAGCACCATTAAAAGTACCACAACATACAGTAACAACAGGAGTAGATCCTATCTCGGTTAGTGTTTAACTCGTATATATGAAAACTACAATTATACCCAGAGAAAAGAAAAAAATAAAAATAAAAAAAATCAAAACTTAACTGCCATGGATCATCTCCAACCATCATCATGTCATCTTCAACATCTGTGTAGACAAGCTTCCATTTCTTGGTTGACCCTGAAAGTTCACCTTCAATTTCGAACATATCTTCTAATTTCTTGATTAGATCCTCATAGGACTTGAACCCGGTCAGGTCTAGTGCTCTCCCAACTGCAGCACCTTGCATATGAACCTATATCAGCAGTCACTTAATTTATTTATACATTTACGCATAGGAATACAATGCACTAAATAGAAACCAACACTTATGCCGCATAATGACTATTTTAAAGACGTAACCAAATCCAAACAAATAATTGTTAATGGTAAAAATCAAGTTTCATGCTAAACCATAGTAGAAAAACGATGGCATAAAAGACATAATACACCACCAAATATAAATTTCAAAATGCTATACTACATTTTCTAGTATGGAATAAACATCCCATGCCACGTTTCCAGTACATATCATGATTGTGAACTCACTCATATCAGCAAGCAAGTGTATGTGTGTGTGTTTGTTTGTTTGTTTTTTCTTTTTTCTTTTTTCCCTTTCAACGTCTAGGATCATTTGAGAGAGGTCACACGAGAAAAGCCAAAAGTACCTTAGTGCAACTCCGAGTTTGCTTATTGTACTGCTCATGAGATGTTCTGAGGCAAAACTTGTCGAGATCATAACTTCCTGAGGGAACACCAGAAAGATTGCGGTTTGATGGCCCTAAATGTTGCTCAAATTCATTATCCAACATAGCAATATGAGAATCCTCGACAGCATCTCGGGAAGAGACTGATCGTGTAGCAGTGTCTTCTTCATCCGAATGGCCTTTCAAGTCAATACCAAAGAGCCTGCAGCCCCTCCCCTGTCTCTTTTTATTAACAGGTGCAAATGACTCTGCAGCATTTTCTAGTTGATTAGATTGGTACACTGAGTTTCTGATACTTTCGCCATGACTCTTAGTGGCGAGATCATGCTGACAAGCTTGTTTTGGTGATTGACATGGGTCTCGTTCATGACAAGAAACATTATAGGAGAATGCTGAAGGTGATTCGGCTTGTGGCTTCCATGTACCTATTCCCAAGAGAGAGAGGGAGAGTGATGCAGAATAAACATAATAATAATTTTATTTTTATTATTATTGTTTAGTAGATTGGTGAACAAGTTAGGTTTAGGGCTTTAAGTCTTATTTAAGGACTCCTTCTTCTTTGTTATTTACAGTGGAATATGAAATAAGAAATTGATTGAGTTTAACCAAAATAAATATCGTTTTGGATCTTTTGTACATATTTTTCCATTATTAATAAATACACTACGTACTTTTCATATTCTTCTTTTTTGTTTTAAAACATCCATCTCTATCTTCATTAACGAGGGTTATTATTGGCAAAAAAATTATTCTTAATTAGTGTGCAACTTACCAAAACGACACTTATTATGAATAGGAGGGAGTAATAATTATTATATTTATTCTGCATCAGAGAACATCTTTCAGGTATTCATACAAAGAAGCCGAAATGTCCATACAAATTAGAGTACCCCCTTAAGATATTACAAGCACCTCACCTTGAGGTTGCAAGTTTCTTCAAAAAGAGTGAATTAATGGTAAATTAGGTATCCCATATTCAGGAAGCAAAGGTCTGCTCCAAAAATTAATTCACTGCTATTGGTATGCATTATTTATTTTTCCATCATCTTCTATAGTATGTGTATTGTTTTTATTTATATCCCATACACGTTTAGTGATGGACTGTGCTTTATTTGATTTTTGTAAAGATTAATCCTTTTTCTTACTTTATGTGCTTGATGCATTATTTATTTCCATCATCGTCTATAGCATGTGAGTTTTTATTTATCCCATACAATTTTAGTGATGGACTGTGATTTATTTGATTTTTGTAAAGATTAATCATTTTTCTTACTTTATGTGCTTGAAATAATAATACTCTCATGGATTTGTTTAATATTTAGGGGTTCTCTCAGCCCGATATAAATAATTCAAGAGCATTTGAGTTACTTTAATTTGAGATATTGGAGCATATCTTTTAAATGTCGATGAAATGTTAGTTTTGCTTAACTGATAGCATTAGTAGTCTTTACCCTCATTGTCCTGAGCTTAATAGAAAGATGGAAATTAAGAATTCAGTGGCAAAAATAGTATATGCTCTAGGAGAATCTGGAGATGATGTTTCCGAGAACAAGGTTGCAAAGAAATTGGCATGTTTGCAGAACTATTCAAGTATACATTTTTTTTTTTACCTCAGTTAATTGTTGCTTTGTGGCTTGTGCTATTTCAAATTTTACAAAATCATGGTGATGGTCGTGACAAAAAAATATTCAATTCATATTAACAAAGTTCTACAATGATTTCACAAAGTTGATTAATTGGGTCTGAAAGACAACGTATCCCAGTTGAATAAGCACGAAAATTCGTTTAATTTAAAAAAATATAAATGAAATACTAAATAAAATCAAACCGACCCCGAGATTCCGCTCAATCATGAATATCTCCAATAAAGTTTAGGGGCCAATGATCCCCTAAGTAGCTCTTAATTATGAAGATGATGTGATATGTGAAATACCATGAATATGCTAACAACTAACATATGTATTTTATCAAAGGTTATATTATCATTCATATTCTTGTTTAATATTTTAATAATACAATGTGGTATAATTATATAGTAAACTAGACTAACTAGTTTACTTATATGAGGAAAACGTGCGATGCAGGTTCATCTTACTAGTTTAAGAAGTGGCTTGAGAATACTAGTAATAACACTAGACTTCAAGAGCTTTTTTCCTCTTTTCAAGTCAATTATTTTACCAAAATGATATGGGAAGGAACAATTCACAAACATATAAGAGAAAAGATATATAATACCTGTTGCAGATAATTCTTGCACAGGAGAAGCTAACATGGGCATATGTGGCCGTTTCTTTCTTTGTTGAGTTAGTAAGTTAGGCGAATTCGAAGCCACAACTGGCTCTATCTCCCATGGTGATACTCTGTCTGGACGCAAGATTGAGGAAGGCTCATCCCATTGGACCTGATTGCACGTGGGCCGAAAGTAAATATATATGTCAACCATATAAAGAACTTAAATTGTGATTAGATGTTACTCTCCCAAATAAAAACCGTTTTTNCTTGTGGGTAACTGAAGATTCAGTTGGCATGAAGCTGAAATTAGAGCCACACTCAATCCGTTATATATGTTACAGTTCTTTTAGTTACCTTCAACGATCTCCATTCAGAATCAGGCCACCTGGATGAAGGATGATCCTCAACACCAACAATTGTCCCAGTGAACCTGAACAAACAAGTAAAGATTATTTTTTTGGAACATGTCCAGTTGTGAATGTTCTCAAGAAGACAACTAGCCAGAAAATGTTGAGTGTTACCTTCTTTCTGGAATCTCGTCGCCTTCAAATCTCATCCTAAACCTCTTCCCAACCGTGAGCTTCTGGTTTTTAGCTTCAAGATACTTGTTTACACTTACTATGAATTCAGATGGACTCGTCCTGGACAAAAGTAATCGGAATTTTAATAATATAAAAATTATCGATAAAGTAATTCTTTGAATGAACCATGTTTTTGCTAGAATGCATGGATCATGTAGATATTATATGAACTCAGGAGACTTCTACTTTTTTTCCCCAGTTCTGTATGTCAGATAATCTATAATTTTCCCCACAATTCTAGTCCCAGTTTAAATTTACAGGAATAAAACAAAACCCTTGATAGAATAAAAGTTGCAATTTGTTCTTTCAGAGAGCTTTCAACAACATCAACGGAAAAGTGGCCTGACCTTGGTTTATAAAAAACTGAAAAAAGAGTCTTAGTCGACAAGGCATACTGTGACTTGATATAACAGAAGATGCCACATTATTGAGCTGTCGCATGGGCCGTCTAACTCCAACTCGAAGCTCCCCATTCTCACCTCTGTAAAGATTCATCAACAGCATCTAATTCAACTCAACTTAATAAGAAAAATAGAAACATGACTTGGAATTCATTTTGTACCTTAAGAAGATAAAAATATCTCCTGCAACCAATTTTTTGGCACTAACAAAGATACTCCATCCTGTAGTCAGTAAGTGGCGCCTTGGTTGGCCTAAAAATGGCATCAATACACATCAGCTTGAACAGTCGAAGATAATAACATAAAACACGAGCTATATTATGCTCCGAGGACACCATTTAGAACCACCANAAAAAAAAACACAAAAACAAAAAGTTGCAACACCACCATTCAATTGTAACCAGGAACCAGCATTCAACCTACAAGCAATCACAAGGCCATATCAGAGGGATGTTCTCCGTTTCAAAAATGGATTTTTGTACTTTAAAGATTGCATATGAAAAAATACGGTAAAAAGGTTCAGTTTCTATTTGTACCACCAAGCGCTCTTGAGCATCCAAAACTGATAAACAAGATTTTTACCTCGGTAGATATGACGGAGATGCCACTGGTCGCCATGAAGATCAGAAGCTACCAACTCCTGCCAAGGCGGTTGCTGAGACATATCCTGCAGCATGAATAACATTTAAGCTAAATTTAATTGATATTAAATTTAAACAGACGAGTAGCAGCAAAGAATTCAATGATAAAAATATTTGTACCAATGGAGGTAAACAATCATCAGCATGCCTTCGTAAAACCGAGAACCCACCGTGTGTGCTTGTATCAGAAGTAGTAAGAGCCTTACAAAATGAATGGACAGTGCATCTCGGAGGTTCAGGTAGAGGCGGATCTGGACTGGTGATCTCACTTTGCTGATCCATCAAAATATAGCAAAAAATTAATAAGGTTTATTCAGAGATCACATAAAACTTAGCAGATATAGAGTTGGGAATTTGAATTTTACATCTTGTTCAGGAATCAATGTTATTTGTGCGTACACCTCATCAGTCTCCTTTTCAGCCTACAATAAAAGAATAAGTCAATGTCAGACATGGCAGAGCTAAATGTTGAAACTTCTGGGAAAAGAAAGCTGCCCAGGTAGTAAGAGAACAGGAAAAAGAAACCCAGCTTGCTCAAATTCAAGGAGCCTTACCCTTAGCTGAACATTTATCACTTTGCAAAGAATTTTACTTGGTAAGTTGAAAGAAGGGAGTTGCTGATCGAGTACTTGATTGGTTGATGCTTCAAGCTAGATGACAACACAACACAACAACAAATTAATTAGTGACTGGAATCACATAGTGGAAACACACTTGAAAATTTCTCTATCCATCGATGTGTGTGTGTGTGTGAGAGAGAGAGAGAGAGAGAGATTCAATTTTTGTGAGCAAGTTGTTATAAGAATTGCCTAAAATCACCAAACCTGTTCCATGTGACCTTGCAGAAAGTAATAAACTCGTTCCCCTTCATGCGGAAGGGTGACAAGAGGCCCAGCACAGGCATGCCAGAGTTCTTTGTACAGAGTTTCATTTGAGGCTCCTGTAGTGCAAAATGGATAACATAAATAAGGGACACACAAATGCATGAGGGGAAAAAGTAAGTTTACGCATTTAGAAAATCATGGAGCAAGATTAAGACATCACCCAACATTCTGAAAAAGAAAGGTGTGTTTATTCAATCTGGAGCCTGGAGAAAATCTATAAAGTCATAGTACCAAACTATAGTACCCTGTAAGGTGCAAGAGCCATTTTCATGCTAAATTATTCTGCCCTTATTTTCTGTATAAACCAAAAATGTCCATGAAACAGCACCCGTGACATGTTTACTAATGTTAGAAACTACTTTCAGGTACTCTTATCTTGGCTGATATAATTACAGCACTCTACTAATTGACAGGGCAGAGATTACCAAGTTATTCGCATTCGTTCATCATACTCCAACAATGTAAGAAAGACATGTTCATTTAAGCAAGGGATAATGAGGAAACCAAATTAGCTGCACCTCAATCCATAGCAGATAAATGAAACAAACAGCTATTATGGAGAGGAGTTAACTCATAACATTGACATAAATGGAAGGACATCTGCGTAAGTTTAGATTTCTCCTAAGTGGTAAGTTGAGATTGAAGGAGCAAAAGCATCACTGTGAAGATATTTTCATGCTAGAAACTCTAATTCAAAATTCACCAGATGCATACGAACAACAATACCTAAAAAAATCAGCTAACAATAAACATAAAGTTGCAAAATTCATACCTCGGGATGGTTCTGAAGCAAAATAAGCTGCTGCGAGGTGTGCCATAATATAAACAATTCAAAATCCCCTGTAAGACTGCAGCACCAAATTTAGGTGGCAATTGAATGAAAACAGGTCACGTGATAGACTTCCCACAATCTCAATTGCTGGAGACAGAGATTATTTGGTTAGAAACCCAACTCCGCACAAATCGAAGCCTTTCTAGTCAAGCTCTTGCAATTTGGCCTGGACATA